CCACTATCATTTGTAATAGCCTAATTTTATGATTCTAATGTTTGGATGTGTCATTTACGTTCGTCGTCTACTCACGTCACGTAATACCAAGTTTGGTATATGTGAAGCTAGCAAAACGGCCGGGAGCACGCTATGAACGTAGCATGTACTCACGTTTTACATGGCACGAATATGATGATTATCATGTGTGGACGTGTAATTTAATTTTGTCATTAATTCACGTCACGTTATGCCAAATTTGGTATATGTGAAGGTAGCAAAATGACCACGAGCGCATCATGAGCGTAGTATGTAGCAATGTTCTTACATGACACATACTTCATGATTACCATGTTTGCACCAAACATATGCCTTCTTAGTTCATTTACTTACCTTCATACCAAATTCGGTATATGCCAAGCAAAGGGAAACAGCCGCAAGCGCAACATGAGCGTTGTATGCACTCATGTTCTTACATGACACGCATGTCATTATTATGATGTTTGTACCAGTCATATACCTTCGTCATCTATTCTCGTCTCCTAATACTAAATTGAGTATATGTGAAGCTAGCGAAACGACCGTGAGCACATTATGAATGTTGAATATATTTATGACTTACATGATATTTATGTCATGATTTGCGCATTAGGGCCTGTCACTTATATTCACCGTGCAGTATTGTCATACCATACCAGTTTTGCAACAAGTCAAGTGGACAATAATTCCACAAGAGCAGCAAGACCATGACATGTATATCTCGACATTCATGACATAGATCTCATGATTTTCATGTTATGACTAGTCATTTATGCTTGCAATAGTCATGTTATGTCCTACCAATTTTGGTATCGATACCATTATTGAAACGGCCGGGAGAGGTAAGAGTTGTAGGTGGCTAGATGGATGGATGAACAGACAGACAGACAGACAGACAGACAGACAGACAGACAGACAGACAGACAGACAGACAGACAGACAGACAGACAGACAGACAGACAGACAGACAGACAGATAGATAGATAGATAGATAGATAGATAGATAGATAGATAGATAGATAGATAGATAGATAGATAGATAGATAGATAGATAGATAGATAGATAGATAGATAGATAGAGAGATATGACCCAAGGGGCCGAAGTTCAGTAAGACATGCTTCGCATTTAATACGAATTGCCAGTGAACCGACACAGGCACATGAACGCTTCACCACTCCACGCAGAGCCGTCCGTAGATACCAAAAGACTCTCAGTGGCCAGTCGGCGCCACATCCTCAATCTTCCCCGCAGTCACTGGCCGAGTGTGAGAGCGTTGCACTGGCAGAAGCCAGTGCAAATGTAGTCAAAGTCTATGAACGCGGTACCGCTTCTTCAAGATCTGACGCTGATGTGGCAAGGCCTATCAGTGCGCCCTAGAAAGAAGGCGCCGGCATCGGCTATGGCAGCTGCATAGTCTGCGAGCTGTCTGATGACAAGTATGGCTTCATTGTGACTGCCGACGTACCAGCTGAACGGCTCGCCGATCACCATTAGGTTGTTCACATAGGCTTCATTCATCATAAATCATTCGGACAGTGATGAGCCTGACCAAAAAAAAAGCATGTTAAATCTAATGAAGCTACAAGCAATAATCACTTTTACGCGAACACGCGAGATACGAAACTACCGAAAAGAAAATGGATGGCGCTACTTCTACTATATAACGAATGCATATACGCTGAGAAATGCAAAATCATCCCACACTTGAGGGAGTTTTGTGGCCCTCTAGTTGGTTCTGGTAGAAAGCGATAGCTTTACTCTTTCGGCCTTTTGCGATTGCTTCACATAAATTGAGACACCACAGGCAGGCCGTTCGGAATCGTTGATGTGCGTGACGGGTACGTATTCTGTGATGTAGAGTTTCGCGGCTTACCAAGTCTCAGTGAAGCAAGGGGCGTCGACGTTCAAAAGAACGGGGTCCCGTTCCACGTCGTCTACGTTTGCAGTGGGGAACGAACGTTCAGGAGAGACAACGTGAATTCGGTAGCTCGATCGACATCTCACTCCAGGGACACGACGTACCGCACCGTCATTATGAGCAGCCGGTGTTGCTCGAGTAGTAAATATTTGTCTGCCATTTCTCTTATCATCGTTGTCCTTCGTGTGATAGTACTTGTGGTCTTTCTTAGCGTTCTCTATTACAAGGGAGCTTCGCCCACTGGCGAAGCTCCCTTGTATTAAAGCTTCCCTTATACAAGCTTCCCTTAATACAAGCTTAATACGAGCTTCCCTTAATACAAAGGAGCTTCGCCCATTGAGAGACGCGTCATGGAATGACGCTAAATATATGTACAAATGTTGCCCGAGTTGGAAAGTTGCAGATGTTTATGTAACCTGTTGTTTGCACATGCACAAAGATGCAAATTGGAACATGCGCATTAGGAACACATGAAGCTGACATGAAGCGCTGATGCTCACGAGGATGCTGGTCCTGGACACTGCTGCTAAATCAACTTTAGCGCATTGCAACTAACCACAACGGACGTTAACCCGACGTGATGGATGTATCAAAGGAGTACACGTGTAATGTTTTTAAAATTGGGTAGCGCACTGCAATCATTGACGTTTCACGAAGATAAGCGTCTCTTGGAAAAGTAGTTCCGAGACCTGGCGTAGCTCTGCAGTAAAATGCTTCGTTGCCACCCCGAATGCTTGGATTCAATTCCAGCTGGGACCCTGACATTTCTTCTTTGCATTCGTCCAGTCGACGCTACCAATGTCCGATATTTATTAACGAAAATTGCCCATCTGTGTTCTTGTCGTTCCTGGGTAGATACTAAGTGTCAATCACCTGTGGCACGTACCCGCATAACAGCAGCACATACCCGCCCATGGGTATGTGCCACTGTCTGGCGGGAAGTGTTTGACGACGTACGCGACGGGATTGTGTCATTACTCATGTCTACACCAGCGCATAATATTCATCAAATCATCTTACCCTCCCATGCTAATTTTGGTTCAAGCCAAGTTAAAGGGGTCATCACACCCGATTTTCGACCGTGATATGTCTTGTGTGGGCTGTGCCTTATACAATCACAAACAAGCTGGCGAAATTGCAGCGCATTCGGTCGTGCCGTTAATTAAAATTGGAATATTGGTATAAATGAGCGAGGGGCCTCGTTCCCGGGCAACACTGGCACGCTCGTTAACCGCCCCGTCGCGGTGGTCTAGTGGCTGAGGTACTCGGCTACTGACCCGCAGGTCGCGGGATCAAATCCCGGCTGCGGCGGCTGCATTTCCGATGGAGGCGGAAATGTTGTAGGCCCGTGTGCTCAAATTTGGGTGCACGTTAAAGAACCCCAGGTGGTCAAAATTTCCAGAGCCCTCCACTACGGTGTCTCTCATAATCATATGGTGGTTTTGGGACGTTAAACCCCACATATCAATCAATCAACGCTCGTTAGCCATGACGTAATGAACCATTTGCTCAGTGAGCTTCTTCACAGTCTGCAGTGCGGAGGGCGATCGTGTTTGATGGTCAGCAGCGCTTGCAATCGAGTTGTTTCAGCGTTATCCAACGTACAACTGAAACTTATTGACTTGCAGTGGTTCAAGCAATGCCACCGCGCCGTCCATGCTGCACTGTGGGGTGCCAGAGCGTACAGAGCAGTGAGGGTACTGCGTCATTATTTAAGTTCCCTATAGGGCCCGCCAAACGCAACGCTTGAGAGATAAACGTGCGCAAGAAAGACTGGTGTGCACGTGTCGCGCCTGTTCAGTGTTCGGTGCACTTCACGGCAGACAGCTACAATGATAACCAGCGTCTTCTCGGCGAGTTTGGTGTCCCAGTGAAAAGGCGAGGCCGCGGCCGGACGCTGTGCCGACCTTGTTTTCCCACTGTTCCGTCCTCCAAGCTAAGCGTCGGGGTACTTTTGAAGAGCGTCAAAGGAAAGAAGTAAGAACCAGTTGCCATTAGCAATAGCGTTGGTATCTGCTTGGCTGTTTGTTTGTTTGTTTCCCTAGATAAATGTCACGTACTCACTTTCGGGGATTGGCCAAAAATGCAATGTTAAGAATTTTAAAATTTATTATAGGTAAGCTATGAAATTAAAAACCAAAAATAAAGAAGTGAAATGGCAACAATACGTAAAATATTCAATTTAACGACAATTAATGTGTTTTTCAGTATGTATTGCAGACTGCCGTACTACCCTAATGGGAACCATTTTGAAAACTTGGATGTTAACTCAATTACATAATGAATATATAAAATACCAGATTAAAATGATACTCGCTGAGTAGCTATAATGAAATTACAAATGGCATCAAAGGCATCCCTGTGGCAGTATCCTAAGCCTGAGGCACCGAAGCTTTGAACATTTTCCTCCGATAAGGTCAAGCCTAATTTTGCAAAAGGAGTAATTGGAAGTCGAGTTCTTCGCCCCGTCTTCGGCACTTTCTTCGTCGCTCGAGCTGGTGGTGACGGAGTCGAAATCAAAATGCGCAGCGTACACGACGTCATCGCCAATTCTTCTGCTCATTAATCATTGCCTGAATCGTGAGCCGATGGCGGTGCCGACCACATGGTGATGGTACCGGTGCAGTACTTCGAAACACTTGCGGACCACGCGGCAAGCAACACTCGCAACACAGCGAACGTAGTGACCACGTGCCGAAGGTGCCGATTGGTAGCAGGTGACGGCACTTCCCCCAATGGTTTGTGACGTCAGCGTGCCAAGGCAAAATGGCGGTCACCATTGATAGGCGGAGTTTCCAGCCGAAGACTTCTACGGCTTATTTTGGACTGAAATAATTCCTCACAGTCCAGTTTTCACACGTGTGCAAGCATGTTGGAATTTGTATACCTTTGTTTTTTTTTGCCAAAAATCGCCAATTGTTGGGTGACCATGTCATGACCCCTTTAAGGGGGTGACCACGAGAGCACCTAAACTAAGCGGCTAGATAGATAGATGCATAAATACGCTCAAAGTTGCTGAAGTTTGCTAAGAAATGTTTCGCATTTAAAAATATATATTTCTTCACAATAGAAGTGACAAGTGTTTATTCAAAGTAGCAGTCTACTTCAAATAACAATAGGACTTCTCTCCCAGGCATCAGCACACCTGTTTGTATCTACAACAGTAAGGAAAATATCCTCCCACAGACACCAGCGTACAGCTTGAGTACACACTACGGTGGGGCAGCTCCAAATCACACCTGTGAACAAAACAAACAATAAATGATTGTTCAATGGGACACAAGTATGCTAGTTTCTTCAATTAAAGCAATATAGGTTGTAGCTTAGCAAGTTGGATTAGGATACTTTCTAATCAGTGTTTGAGGGCCTAATTCCGAAAATCCTTCAAAATAACTTCACTTAAATAGAAACAATCTCTGGATCAAGTTCAGAAATGAATTTTTTTCTACGAGGACCACAATGTTGCGTTCCGTTGATTACGAGCGAGCACTGTTAATTATTGTGCATTGGCGAATTTTCATAAACTACTCAGGCTATAGTGAAACCGGAGCACAGCCAGCACATTTTTTCGTTACGCATTAGCTTGCAAGTGTCGTAAAACCATTATTTACCAACATAGCGCCACGCGTGTGAAAGATGCGATAGCTATTTTATAACGCTAAGGCCACTTTAGTTAAAAATGAACAGCAATTAACATCTTTGCACTCCTTGTAGGAAGTGGTAACGTCGTTGGTCTCATCTGTTAAGCAGCGGGAGTTTCGCTCAGAGGCACATCAATATCTCTTGCACTGGCGAAGTCAATTAACTTTCACCGCCTGTAAAAATTAGGGAAGTAGATCTTGGAACAACTCAAAGCGGTTGCGCGCTCTGGGCAGAGAAGACTGATATTTTTAATTAGGTTGAAAGCTCTTAGTTGAAAGAGTCTCGGCGAGTAGAAGTTTCTTGTGGTCTAAACGCTGCCTTTCAAGCAGTGCAGGTGGACCCTTGGTCTTCTTTCTCCTGCAATTCTTCATCTGCTTCTACAACAAAACATCCCTAGAGCTCTATTCGAGCCGGTGACTGCACAATTTGACCACAGTCATGTCCCAAGACGAGCACAACAACACGGCTTCACCCACCCCACCTGCATCTGTGGGCATGCCTTCTTGTACTGTCACCACCCTGAAAATGTCACCACCCCGATGTTCTCCGGCAGTCGCAGTGAATGTATTTTAGAAAATTAGTGGTTGGTTACAAATGTTGTCAGACTATTAAAATACGCGGATGATTTCTTGGTTGTTTTAGAGTGTATTCTTTCTCTGTTCCTCTCGATATCGGTCCAAATGATAGGCGTGTTTGAAGATTGTGTAGCGTAGCGCTAGCGGCGGCCAGCCATCGAGAGAGAGAGATGAGGGGTACCGGTGGCTCGTCACGCGTGGTGCCGAAAATGTTCTTTGCTTCCGGTTGGCTGGACGCCACGGCCGCCGCTCTATTGAGCACAACTCGTTTCCTGTACGTCTTTTCCTCTTCCTTTTTATTAAACCAGCGACGACGGCATGTCTACGTCGGACGCCGTCCCATAGCTTAAAGTTGCTTGAAGCCTCTTGCGCTGACACATAAAATGCCCGAGAATAACATTGTACGCTTTTTGGATTTAAGACTATTTTTAGCTCACAGCATGTTCGTTGGTGCTACGAACCACGCGTGCTGAAACCGTTGCTTCGAATTTTTCATGAGCAATTGTGTGGAGCTTCTCGGCTGAATTTTGCCGCGGACATCGGTGGCGGCGTCGCCATCACTCACTATATATATATATATATATATATATATATATATATATATATATATATATATATATATATATATATATATGTGTGTGTGTGTGTGTGTGTGTGTGTGTGTGTGTGTGTGTGTGTGTGTGTGTGTGTGTGTGTGTGTGTGTGTGTGTGTGTGTGTGTGTGTGTGTCCGGTGCAAGGAATCAAACTTGTTACCTCAGAATTGAGAGTTCGAGGTGGTAACTGCTGACCAATTGGGGAGCAACTTCTTTAACGTTCAAATGGGAAGCTATTTATATCTACCACTTACCACTGGTGACTGAAATCTCGGGGGGAAATATTGTGTTTTCAGCATTACTAGCAAGATGGCGCAATGATTGCACGTCGCCACATCGTCACAACACCACCGCGCGCACTCTTATCACCCACGCTTACTTGGCGCTGCGGAGAGAATGGGGGTGGACGCTAAATCTGGCGCCCTTACCTTGCGATGGGGACGACCGTGCGTCTTGGCTGGCCTTGGGTTTTTAGTGGAACACTCTTGTTGCTGTTACTGGGCGCCCAAAGGTCATGGCAATTGTTGCAGAGTCTCCGGCGCAAAGGGTGCGCTTTTCAGACATAGCCAAATAACAACTGATTGATTGATATATGGGGTGTAGCGTCCCAAAACCACCATATGATTATCAGAAACGCCGTAGAGGGGGAATCCGAAAATTTCGACCACCTGGAGTTTTTAAAGCGCACCCCAATTTGCGCACACAGGCCAGCGAAATAACAACTGAGACGCCTATTCACGTTCATCGGTACCTGTGAGTACGTTTCGTGCGTGATTTGTGTGCGAGAAACGTGGCGCATGTTTTGATCTGCTTGCCATTCTGCACGCGACCTTCCGAATTGATGCTTTCGCGTTGATGGTTTCACCTTTGCGGCAAAGCTGCGAATTTTTTTTTCTTCCGCGCACAGCAGCTAGTAAAGCGAGGCATAGCACGGACCTGACTGAAGAGTGCCTTGAACAGGTCGTGCTTTCACAACATCGTGCGAACTTGAATGCTCAAGTGTCCCGGCTTATGGCTTCGGGTTTTCTGGAGGTATTTGTATTACTTGCCGCTGAGTCTATTTTGCGGATAATTAAGGCAAATCACAAACAAGGACAGGATCCGAGCAACACGGGTACAGATCATGATAGGATAGCTGTTGTTCTGTACAATTACCAGATATCTGAGAGGCTCAAGAAAATCAGAAAACGTGTGGGTGTTCGTGTGCTGTTCTCCGCACCGTTCCAAATAATCAGTCTCACTAAATTGACAAATCTCTGAAGAAACAGTCTACAAATGAATGTAACTCTAAACACAGGACTATGGAATACGTTGCTGGGGGCCTGTTAGTCATGACACGACACATCGTTTGCTGCAGCACGCGACAGATAATTAATTACAAGCCCCTCATTATCAATCAGTGTCAGTTTCGGTTTAAGAGAGTTCGAAAAACTGGGTGCAACTGTTGCCACCTAGCGTGTGCAGCTCTTGACCACGTCAATACACAGAACTGTGACGCACTTCTACACTTCTACACGGTTCGCATCAAAAATTTCCTTGGAATAGGAAACGGGACTGGAGTGTCGCCAAACACAAAAATTTCAAAGCGAGTGCCACGGCCACGCCCTCGCAACCAGCCGCCGAGCAATATAGACTTCGGGAACTAACGCAACAAAAGAAAAATTACGACTATGACGTCACCATATCCTCTTTTGTTGACCGCAGCGTGGTGACGCGAGGGAAGAAGGGGGTCATTTCGGGGTCACCTCCGAGGGTGTCTATAGCGCTATGGAGTCGGTCACTCACGCAAACTTCAAAATTATTTTAAAATACCTTCCAAGCTATATTCGCTGTTAATATCTTGCAGATGATATACGAATGCTCTCGAGAATCGACCCCGCAGGCTATCCCGGCCCCGAAACTTTGTGTCAGTACCCCTTTAACATAACGCCTCCTTCACTTCGAGAAGGCCTATTAACAGAAAACGCACTAAATGAAAGAAATTTTACCACATCCGTATCATTTTTAAACCAAGTTTATCTTATCATAAGTACATCGGAAGAGATACCAATAGTAGCCGAAAGATCAACCATTTAATTTTCTTTGTTCTTAACTGATTGTGCGTTAACGTGCACGCAAACAAAGAAAAAGAACTAGATGGCGTTAGTGGTTTTCACAGCATTGTCACGAATTTATTTTGGGATCGCTTGCGAAAGATGTCCTTGAGAGAGAGACGCGGGAGATGGGCGTGGAAAGGCAAACACACTTTGTGATCGAAAACGGACAAAAACAATACACAGAATTTGTGTTACACACTCAACAGCTCAATAACACTCAACAGCAAAACATATCATTTAACCATATGGTGTAGTAGCGCAAATTCACGGGGACAAAAAGGACAAGAAAACACAACACTCGCTACACTCGCAACTAATTTTTATTTCAGAAGCAGCACTTCATATATAACCCAAAACCCTAGCGACACAGAAAAGAACTACGAACACTGAATCATCGCCAACAGAAGCTTTTGCGCAGACTCAAGCGATAGTACACGGCAGTTACGCTTACACTTTAAGATGACATAACTAAAACAGCCCTGGGTAACATCAAATCAAAAAAACCAAAAAATTTGCGGGAATTCACACGTGTTTGAAACAAAATTTTTGAAACGACAAAAAGGAGAGTATGACACATGCAAACACTGATCTCAATTAAGTCCTTCGAGGTAGCTGGCTTGTCGGTTACTTAACGAAACCGATGACTGACTAATGCATCCTTCTTTTCTTTTTTCCTTTTTTTCCCCGTGAATTTGCGCTACTACACCATATGGTTAAATGATGTCTCACCAACTAGCCCAGCTCTCAACCCTACTGAGCAAAACATATCATAACAACCATTAATTTATTAATCTTCACTAATCATTCGCGTACATAGGCGAACAAAACTGACTGTGGCTCAGTCCCAATTCATCGCTAAACCTAGCCGCTAGACCAAAGCCAAAATGGCGTCAACTGTGGAATGTTCTTACGGCTTGTCGCGTCGCGATTCGTCGCCCCTTGCTCTGCCGATAGTGCGTCGAGGCCTGTCGTCAACGTATTCGCCAAGTTTCTACCGTCATTGTCTTCTTTCGCCGAATGAGCCAATCGACTTCATTGCCAGTTGGTTTCGGATTTCGTAGTATACTCCGGCTCGGTTAGGCTACGCCAAACTCGTCATTGGCGTCTTGAGTGTGGAGCGGGCAGAATACATATGTCTCGAAGCGGAGGTGCTATACTCCACACAGGCATTGCGACAGGTTGCGACAAGCCCGGGCAGCCTCACTCGATTGTTACGATATCGACGTCTACTCCTCCGCACCTCTTCGCTGACAGCCAAGAGAAATCCTCCAATTTCAAAGACTAAGTAGGCGATCTGAAGCTCATCCTCATCCTAACCTAAACAGGAAACAA